GAAAATGGGATTTCTCCAGGGAAAAGGGGATTTCTCCAGGGAAAATGGGATTTCTCCAGGGAAAATGGGATTTCTCCAGGGAAAATGGGATTTCTTCCAGGGAAAAGGGGATTTCTTCCAGGGAAAATGGGATTTCTCCAGGGAAAATGGGATTTCTCCTGGGAAAGTGGGATCTCTCCCGGGATCTGCCTCTCCCTGGCTGGCTCTGATTCGCAGTCAGGGCTGTTAATCCTCAGCTGTGCCCTAAATTCCGATGGAAGGGAGGGAACAGCCACACAAAATCCCCGGAAGAACATCCCTGCCTCTTCCCAGGCACCTGGAAGACTTTTCCCATTACTTTTCCCAGTTTTTTTCCTGTCCTCAGTGGCTCTGTGTGGGGAAATTCCGGATTTCCAGGGAGGAAATGTTATCCCAGGATATCCAAGAGGTTTTGGGGGGTCTCAGCTCGGGTTTTCCAGGAGTTTTGGCTGCTGGAGGAATTTTCTGGAGGTCGGGGCTGTCCCTGTCACCCTCAGCCACCCTAAATTCTTGGGATCTTATCCAGGGGAAATTCCCAAAGGAAATTTGTCTTCAAATCCAGAACAAAACACGGAGCAAATTGTGAGGATTTGGGGTTTTGTTTTTTTCCCGGCTTAAACCCTTTAAAAAGAAACCGTTCAAAACCAGGAATTCTTTCCATGAATTCCTTTTCATTCCCAAAGCTGGAAAAAACGGGCAGGGGGGAGATGGTGTGGGCTGGGAATTGGGAGATTTGGGGCTGGGAATGGGAAGATTTGGGGCTGGGAATGGGAAAATTTCAGGCTGGGAATGGGAAGATTTTGAGTTGGAAATGGGAAGATTTGGGGCTGGAAATGGGAAAGATTTTGGCTTGAAAATGAGAAGATTTGGGGCTGGAAACAAGAAGATTTCAGGCTGGGAATTGGAATATTTGAGGCTGGAACTGGGAAGATTTTTTGTTGAAACTGGGAAGATTTGGGGCTGGGAATGGGAAGATTCAGGGCTGGGAATGGGAAGATTTGGGGCTGGGAATGGGAAGATTTCAGGCTGGGAATGGGAAGATTTCAGGCTGGGAATGGGAGGATTTGGGGCTGGGAATGGGAAGATTTCAGGCTGGGAATGGGAGGATTTCAGGCTTGGAATGGGAAGATTTGGAGCTGGGAATGGGAAGATTTCAGGCTGGGAATGGGAAGATTTCGGCTCTCTGGACACACCTGCTTTGAAGTTGAGCTCTGTCACTTTTTGGGACTCAGCTCCTCCAAGCCACGGCTGCGCTGGAATTCAGCCAAACACCGGAAATCCGGGAATCTCCTCGGGATTTCCCTTTGGCAAGCAAACCCCAAACCTCAGGGCAAAGCCAACACACAGCGGGGTGACCCCATAACCCCCGAGTGAGACAGGAAAATTTTAGAGGCGGGGGAGAAACACCGGGAAAAATCCCTCGGGATCAGAACCTCGGGATTTGGAACGCTGGGCTGATCCCTCTCTCTCTCTGCTCTGTCCCCACAGCTGGAGGGACAGCATGGCAGCCACGGCCGCCGTCAGCCCCAGTGAATACCTGCAGCCCGCCGCCTCCGCCGCCCAGGTGAGTCCAGCCCATCCTCAGGGCTTTTCCCGGGATTCAGGAGCAGCCAGGAGTCCCTCCAAAGGCTCATTCCCCACTCCTCGTCCCGGTTGTTCCTCCTCCTCCTCCCTGAGGATGCGGGGTGGCGTTGGGGTTTGAGCTGCCTCAAAAGCCAGGGTGAATCTCCCAGGGTGTTCTCCACGGCTTTTAGGATTTTTCAATCCCAGGGATGGGATTTAAAAGATGATGTCATCACTGATTAAAAACAGTGGATGTTTTGGGAGGAATTCTGTGACAGAAAAATTAGGAATTTCTGCCCAGAAAGGTGGTGGAGTCACCTGGGGGTGTTTAAGGAGGGACTGGACAGGATTAAACCCTTTAAAAAGAAACTGTTCAAAACCAGGAATATTTCCCTGAATTCCTTTTCATTCCCAAAGCTGGAAAAACAGCAGGGAGATGGCGTGGACTAGGAATTGGGAGATTCTGGGCTGGAAATGGGAAGATTTCAGGGTGGGACTGGGAAGATTTGGGGCTGGGAATGAGAAGATTTGGGGCTGGGAATGAGAAGATTTGGGGCTGGGAATGGGATGATTTCAGGCTGGGAATGGGAAGATTTCAGGCTGGAACTGGGAAGATTTGGGGCTGGGAATGAGAAGATTTAGGGCTGGGAATGAGAAGATTTGGGGCTGGGAATGGGAAGATTTGGGGCTGGGAATGGGAAGATTTGGGGCTGGAACTGGAAAGATTTGGGCCCTCAGTGCCATGCTTGGGGTGACAAAGTATCCCCCAGGTTGAAGTGGACGATCACAAAGATATTTCCAACCTCAGTTGTTGGGGAATTCCACCATCCTCTAAAGGCACAGCGGGTAATTAAGCAGCTCCCTTAATCAGGGGAGCCTCATTAGCTGTTCCTGCAGGTTCCTGGCACTAACTGCCCTGTCTCCCCAGGACTCCCAGCCCTCTCCCCTGGCCCTGCTGGCAGCCACATGTAGCAAGATCGGTCCCCCCGCCGTGGAAGCCGCCGTGACGCCGCCGGCCCCTCCGCAGCCCACCCCTCGCAAACTGGTGCCCATCAAACCCGCCCCGCTGCCCCTGGGCTCGGCCAAGAGCAGCATCGGCATCCTGTCCTCCAAAGGGAACCTCTTCCAGATCCAGGGTTCCCAGGTGGGCACCTCCTACCCCGGCGGGCAGCTGGTTTTCGCCATCCAGAACCCGGCCGTGCTCAACAAAGGCTCGCGCTCTTCCTCCTCCTCCTCCTCCTCGTCCTCCTCGTCGTCCTCCTCCAACATCCAGTACCAGGCCGTGCCCCAGCTGCAGCCCGGCGGGGCTCAGACCATCCAGGTGCAGCCCAACCAGATCCAGATCATCCCAGGCACCAACCAAGCCATCCTCACGCCTTCCTCTTCCTCGCACAAACCCGTGCCCATCAAACCGGCGCCGGCGCAGAAAGCGGCGTCGGCAGCGGGCGGCGTGGTCAAACTGCCCGGGGGTGGCAACGTCACCTTGACCCTGCCCGTCAACAACCTGGTGAGCTCCGAGGCGGGCGGCCAGGCCCAGCTGCTCACGGACAGCCCTTCCAAACCCGGCAAAAAACCTCGGAAAAAGGCTCTGTCCCCCGCCCAGCCGGCCGCCGTGGCCGTGGCCGAGCAGGTGGAGACGGTGCTGATCGAGACCACGGCGGAGAACATCATCCAAGCCGGTAACAACCTGCTGATCGTGCAGAGCCCCGGCTCGGGGCAGCCGGCGGTGGTGCAGCAGGTGCAGGTGGTGCAGCCCAAGCAGGAGTCGCAGGTGGTGCAGATCCCGCAGCAGGCGCTGCGCGTGGTGCAGGCCGCCTCGGCCACGCTGCCCACCGTGCCCCAGAAATCCTCCCAGAACTTCCAGATCCAGGCGGCCGAGCCCACCCCCACCCAGGTACAGCCTCCTTGGAATCTCTGCCCTGTTGTTTTGCTGGGGTTTTAGGAGCTGGAGGGTTTTGTGAGACGTTCCCGCTGTGGTTTGGCTGTTGCTGAGTGAATTCCCTGGATGTTGGGAGCGCGGCCGTTCCCTCTGCAGGGATTTAGGAGCTCCACCTGCTTTTATAGGATCTGGAGGAGCTCGGTGTCCCTGAAACCTCCCCAGTGCCACGGCTGGGGTTGGGATGAGCCAGGGAGCTCCCGGGACACGAGGGGAGGTGGGAGAGGGGTTGGTGTCTTTGTGTTGCCTTGGGTGAAATCCAGGAGCTTTCTCCTTTCTCCAGGAGACGCACAAAAGTCCAGGTTTACTTCCCGGTGAGGCTGGGGAGGGGCTGGGATGCATTTCCCAGACGAGCTGCGGCTGCCCCACCCTGGCAGTGTCCAAGCCCAGCTTGCAGCACCCTGAGCCAGCAGAAGAAATCCCTGGCAGTTAAAACAAGACAACCTTTAAAACCCCTCCAAATCCCAAACCTTCCTTCCTCTCCTCCAGATCTACTTCAAGACCCCCTCTGGCGAGCTGCAGACCATGCTGCTCCAGGAGACCTCCTCCGTGCCCGTGCCTCCACCTCTGGGCACGTCCTGCGGCAGCCCCGCGTCGCGCAGCCCCGGCCCCGGCGCCGGCCGCAAACCGGCCCCGCGCAAGGAGCGGCCGCTGCCCAAGATCGCCCCGGCCGGGGGCATCCTGAGCCTGAACGCGGCACAGCTGGCGGCAGCTGCCCAGGCCATGCAGACCATCAACATCAACGGCGTCCAGGTGCAGGGAGTCCCCGTCACCATCACCAACACCGGAGGTGGGTGGCGGGACTTGGGGATGGGAGAGGGTGTGGGCAGCTCAGGGAGGGTGGGAATGTGGGATGGAATCGTCCCCGGATCGGATCAGATCAGATCAAATCCCTTGTGCTCCTGAGGGAGGATGGGAACAGTGAGCAGATCCCTGAGGTTCTCAAGGGTGGGAATGTGGGATGGAATCGTCCCCGGATCGGATCAGATCAGATCAAATCCCTTGTGCTCCTGAGGGAGGATGGGAACAGTGAGCAGATCCCTGAGGTTCTCAAGGGTGGGAATGTGGGATGGAATCCTCCCTGGATTGGATCAGATCGGTTCGGATCAGATCAGATTAGATCCCTTGTGCTCCTGAGGGAGGATGGGAACAGTGAGCAGATCCCTGAGGTTCTCAAGGATGGGAATGTGGGATGGAATCCTCCCTGAATTGGATCAGATCGGTTCGGATCAGATCAGATTAGATCCCTTGTGCTCCTGAGGGAGGCCAGGGACAGTGGGCAGATCCCTGAGCTGCCTGAGGATGGGAATGTGGGATGGAATCGTCCCTGGATCGGATCAGATCAGATCAAATCAAATCCCTTGTGCTCCTGAGGAAGGATGGGAACAGTGAGCAGCTCCCTGAGCTCCCTGAGGATGGGAATATGGGATGGAATCGTCCCCGGATCGGGTCAGATTGGTTTGGATCAGATCAGACCAGATCAGATCAGATCAGATTAAATCAAATCCCTCGTGCCCCTGAGGGAGGATGGGGACAGCGAGCAGCTCCCTGAGCTTCCCAAGGATGGGAATGTGGGATGGAATCGTCCCCGGATCGGGTCAGATTGGTTCGGATCAGATCAGACCAGATCAGATCAGATTAAATCAAATCCCTCATGCCCCTGAGGGAGGACGGGGACAGCGAGCAGCTCCCTGAGCTTCCCAAGGATGGGAATGTGGGATGGAATCCTCCCCGGATCAGATCAGATGGGATCCCGAGGGGCTCTGCAGTGTCAGCACCTTCTGGAGTGTTTCCCAAAGTGCCCTTCGGGTGGTTCCAAGCACATCCTGGAGAGCTGTGGATAACAGGGATGGCTGCCTGCCCAACCCAGGAAGCACCTGAGGTTTCCTGGGAGCCCAGCCCAGCTCTGTTCCCTCCTCAGCTCTGTGTCCAAATCCTTGGGATGCCTTTTTTCCAGAGGACTAGGACCCAGCCAGGCAGAGGGACAGGTTGAATCCCATTCCAGATCCCCATCCCAGGGCTGGAACACCTCCCTTGGATCCCATTCCAGATCCCCATCCCAGGGCTGGAACACCTCCCTTGGATCCCATTCCAGATCCCTATCCCAGGGCTGGAACACCTCCCTTGGATCCCATTCCCATCCCAGGGCTGGAACTGCTCCCTTGGATCCCATTCCAGATCCCCATCCCGGGACTGGAACACCTCCTGCATCCCTTTGGAATGAGGAACTCTCCCAAGTTCCCAAAGCCGGGAGAGGCACATTCACACACACAGCTCCGTCCTTCCATCTCCAGGGATCACCATTCCAGAGGGTGAACCCCTCACTCCAGGGATCTCCCTAAAGCCCAAACCCAGCCAGACACAGCCCCGCTGCTCCTGATCCCAGGAATGTCACCTCCCTGTCCCCATTCCAGGGCCAAACCCTTCCCAAGGAGCCGAGGGGAGGGAGCTGTGTCTGCGGGGAGTTTTATCTCCTTCCTGAGCCAGCCAGTCCTGCTGCCTGCCGTGGTTTTTTCCAGCAGCTGGCTTTGGCACCGGGAATCTGCTCCTCCTCGCCAGGCGTCAGCAGAAATCCCGGCCCGGTGCGGTTTCCCGCTCCGCCGTTCTCCCGGGATTGGCTTTTGGGGGTTGGGGGGGTGTGATTTAATTAGAGATCCCAACGAATGTGGAGGGGACCGGTAGGACCTGCTGCCCACGGGTGTGACGAGCTGAGCCAGGCCTCAGCCGGGACATTCCCACCTCCTCCCAATCCCTCGGCTTCGCGCTTCCCCGCCGGCGGATCCCTCGCTCTGCCTGCACTCCCTCCCTGCTGCCTCTGCTCCTCCGCTGCCAAATCCCATTTGTTCTCCTCCTCCTCCTCTTCCTGCTGCTGCCCTGGGAGCAGCCATCCCGATCTCAATCCCAATCCCGATCCCGCTTGCTGACGCTGACCCCGTCTTCTTCTTTCCAGCCCCCGTCACGGCTGCCAGGGACGCCCGAGCCTGGAGCGGCCCTTAGGCTGCGGGGTAAGTCCCGTTTTTTTGCTCAATATATTGCACGTTTTTTCAAAGTTTCTTTTTTGTTTCCTCTTTGAGCCCTTTTTTTCCCTGCCCCCCTAAAAGGGTCTTTTGAAAACTTTGAAAACTTTGAAAAACCGCACAGTATATTCAGAAAAAAGGGACTTACCGGGAGCGGCACGTGGCAAAGGGGGCTGTGCTGCATGCGGGGATAAATTTGGGATATTCCCTGCTCCAGAGGGTCCGCTGGGAGGAGCGTGGATGGATCCTGACTGCCCCTTTATCCCTCCCCAGGCCAGCAGCAGCTGACGGTGCAGAACGTGTCCGGCAACAACGTGACCATCAGCGGGCTGAGCCCCACCCAGATCCAGCTGCAGATGGAGCAGGCGCTGTCCGGGGATGTCCAGCCGGGAGAGAAGAGGAGGAGGATGGCCTGCACCTGCCCCAACTGCAAGGACGGCGACAAGCGGTCAGTTCAGAACCTGGGAAGGGCTCATCCGGCTTGGATCCGCCTCTCCTGGGTTATCCCAGGGTGGTTTATCCCGCTTGGATCCGCCTCTTCTGGGAGTGGTTTATCCTGTTGGATCTGCCTCTACTGGGAGTGGCTTATCCCACTTGGATCCGCCTCTTTTGGGAGTGGTTTATCCTGCTTGGATCCGCCTCTCCTGGGTTATCCCAGGGTGGTTTATCCCGCTTGGATCCGCCTCTTCTGGGAGTGGTTTATCCTGTTGGATCTGCCTCTACTGGGAGTGGCTTATCCCACTTGGATCCGCCTCTTTTGGGAGTGGTTTATCCTGCTTGGATCCGCCTCTCCTGGGTTATCCCAGGGTGGTTTATCCCGCTTGGATCCGCCTCTTCTGGGAGTGGTTTATCCTGTTGGATCTGCCTCTACTGGGAGTGGCTTATCCCACTTGGATCCGCCTCTTTTGGGAGTGGTTTATCCTGCTTGGATCCGCCTGTCCCAGGATTGGTTTATCCCACTTGGATCCACCTCTCCCAGAGTAACCTGGAGTGGTTTATCCCACTTGGATCCGCCTCTTCTGGGAGTGGTTTATCCTGTTGGATCTGCCTCTACTGGGAGTGGCTTATCCCACTTGGATCCGCCTCTTTTGGGAGTGGTTTATCCTGCTTGGATCCGCCTCTCCTGGGTTATCCCAGGGTGGTTTATCCCGCTTGGATCTGCCTCTTTTGGGAGCGGCTTATCCTGTTGGATCTGCCTCTACTGGGAGTGGTTTATCCCGCTTGGATCCGCCTCTCCTGGGTTATCCCAGGGTGGTTTATCCCGCTTGGATCTGCCTCTTTTGGGAGCGGCTTATCCTGTTGGATCTGCCTCTACTGGGAGTGGTTTATCCCGCTTGGATCCGCCTCTCCTGGGTTATCCCAGGGTGGTTTATCCCGCTTGGATCTGCCTCTTTTGGGAGTGGCTTATCCTGTTGGATCTGCCTCTACTGGGAGTGGTTTATCCCGCTTGGATCCGCCTCTCCTGGGTTATCCCAGTGTGGTTTATCCTGCTTGGATCCACCTCTTCTGGGAGTGGCTTATCCTGTTGGATCCACCTCTCCTGGGAGTGGTTTATCCCACTTGGATCCACCTCTCCTGGGTTATCCCAGTGTGGTTTATCCTGGTTGAATCCGCCTCTCCTGGGAGTGGCTTATCCCACTTGGATCTGCCTCTTTTGGGAGTGGTTTATCCTGCTTGGATCCGCCTGTCCCAGAGTAACCTGGAGTGGTTTATTCTGCTTGGATCTGCAGCTCCTGGGCGTGGTTTATCCCGCTTGGATCCGCCTCTTCTGGGAGTGGTTTATCCTGTTGGATCCACCTCTCCTGGGAGTGGTTTATCCCACTTAGATCCGCCTCTCCTGGGTTATCCCAGGGTGGTTTATCCCACTTGGATCCGCCTCTTTTGGGAGTGGTTTATTCTGCTTAGATCCACCTCTCCCAGGATTGGTTTATCCCGCTTGGATCCACCTCTCCCAGAATAACCTGGAATGGTTTATCCTGTTGGATTCACCTCTCCTGGGCGTGGTTTATCCCGCTTGGATCCACCTCTTTTGGGAGTGGCTTATCCTGCTTGGATCCGCCTCTCCTGGGAGTGGTTTATCCCACTTGGCTCTGCCTCTTTTGGGAGTGGTTTGTCCCACCTGGATCCGCCTCTCCTGGGTTATCCCAGTGTGGTTTATCCTGCTTGGATCCACCTCTCCTGGGTTATCCCAGTGTGGTTTATCCTGCTTGGATCCGCCTCTCCTGGGTTATCCCAGTGTGGTTTATCCTGTTGGATCTGCCTCTCCTGGGCGTGGCTTATCCTGTTGGATCCGCCTCTCCTGGGCGTGGCTTATCCCGCTTGGATCCGCCTCTCCCGGGTGTGTCTCATCCCTCTGGCTCCGCCTCTCCCGGGCTGACCCCGCCTTTCCCCGCAGGCCGGGCGATCCCGGGAAGAAGAAGCACATCTGCCACATCCCCGAGTGCGGCCGGACGTTCCGGAAGACGTCGCTGCTGCGGGCGCACGTGCGGCTGCACACGGGCGAGAGGCCCTTCGTGTGCAACTGGGTGTTCTGCGGCAAGCGCTTCACGCGCTCCGACGAGCTGCAGCGGCACGCGCGCACCCACACAGGTCTGGGATATCCCTGGGTACCCCCTGTTCCCAGGGGAGAACCCAAAAACAGGTCTGGGGTGTCCCTGGATGCACCCTGTTCCCTGGGGAGAATCCCAAACAGGTCTGGGGTATCCCTGGGTACCCCCTGTTCCCTGGGGAGAACCCAAAAACAGGTCTGGGGTGTCCCTGGGAAATTTTGGGGACACAGGGATTTGGGCACACAGGGATTTGAGGACACAGGGATTTGGGGTCACAGGGATTTGGGCACACAGGGATTTGGGGACATGGGGATTTGGAGACAGAGATTTGAGGACAGAGATTTGAGGACAGGGATTTTGGGCACACAGATTTGGGCACACACAAAGATTTGGGCACAGGGATTTGGGCACACAGGGATTTGGGCACACAGGGATTTGGGCACACAGGGATTTGGGCACGCAGGGATTTGGGCACACAGGGATTTTGGGGATGGCACATCCCCGAGGCAGTGCCAAACCCCCTGATCCTGTCCCCTCTCCCGCAGGTGACAAACGCTTCGAGTGCGCGCAGTGCCAGAAACGCTTCATGCGCTCCGACCACCTGACCAAGCATTACAAAACCCACCTGGTCACCAAGAACTTGTAGGATCGGGACAGAGAGAGAGAGAGAAAGATTCCCTCCCATCCCAAATCCCGGGAGGGACCACGGGAACCTTCCCCACCCTCCCGACCGTGCACAGCACCCCCAAAAAAATGGGGTGGGGGGTCCCTGTGACCCCCCACAGGCTCAGGGGGGGTGACCCAGAGCCCCTCCAGAGCCCCCCAGGATGTGGGGCAGGAGAAGGGGACGCCCAAGAGGCTCCACAGCACATTCCTACTTTATATTTAAAGTCTATAAATAGCTATAAATATCTATATAACCCCTTTGGAAAAAAATCCCTGTTTTTCTATGGAGATCGTTGCCTTACACTCCCCCTCTCCCAGATCCCGACCCTGTGGATCATGAGTGCTTTTTTTAAAAATCTATTTAATCCCCTGGATTTTCTCTCCCAAAACTCAATTTTTTATTTTTTTTTTTTTTTTCCAGCCAATTCCTTGCTCTCAGTTTTTATTTCTGAGCAGCTTTGGCATTTTCCCCTTTTTTTTTTTTAAATTTTGGGACTTCATCCCTTTTTTTTGTTTTGTTTTTTTTTGTGGGAGTTGTGTTTTTTCTGTGTTTTTTTCCCTGTTTTTTTTTTTTCCTGTATTTTTTTTTTTTTCATTTAATTTCCTTTTGTTTTTATTTTTTTTTGGGGGGGGGGGGTTTTCTTCGTTATTTTTTTTCTAAATTTCAGGACTTCACCCCCTTTTTTCCTATTTTTCCCCCCGTTTTTCCTGCCCGGTGTGTGCAGATCCCTGCCCCCTGTACAGTGTACATTGTATCATAGATTATATTGCTTTGGAGCTTTTAAATTAAACAAAATCCACTTTATTTTTTAGTTGTTGTTCCCGCCCGAGGGCGTTTTCCCTGGATTATGTGATGGATCTGTTCCCAGTTTTCTGAGCTGTACCCGGAGGCAGCCGGGAGCTTTTCCTTGCTAAATAAATTTAGTCACCAGAGGCAAATCCAGGCTCCTTCCCTCTCTCTCTCTTTTTCCCTTTATTTTTATTCCCGGGAATGTTGTGGAAAAGCGGGATTTGGTGGATGGGAATGCCCAAAACGGACGGAATTTGGAGTTATTGGCGGGAAGATTGATGCTCTGCTGTTGGTGTGAGGTTTGTCCCCAAATCCTGGCCCTTGTCACAGGTCACAGCATCCCAAATGTCCCCAAATCCTGTCCCCAAATCCCTGTCCCCAAATCCTGTCCCCAAATCCCTGTCCCCAAATCCTGTCCCCAAATCCCTGTCCCCAAATCCTGTCCCCAAATCCCTGTCCCCAAATCCTGTCCCCAAATCCCTGTCCCCAAATCCTGTCCCCAAATCCCTGTCCCCAAATCCTGTCCCCAAATCCCTGTCCCCAAATCCTGTCCCCAAATCCCTGTCCCCAAATCCTGTCCCCAAATCCCTGTCCCCAAATCCTGTCCCCAAATCCCTGTCCCCAAATCCTGTCCCCAAATCCCTGTCCCCAAATCCTGTCCCCAAATCCCTGTCCCCAAATCCTGTCCCCAAATCCCTGTCCCCAAATCCTGTCCCCAAATCCCTGTCCCCAAATCCTGTCCCCAAATCCCTGTCCCCAAATCCTGTCCCCAAATCCCTGTCCCCAAATCCTGTCCCCAAATCCCTGTCCCCAAATCCTGTCCCCAAATCCCTGTCCCCAAATCCTGTCCCCAAATCCCTGTCCCCAAATCCTGTCCCCAAATCCCTATCCCAAATCCCTGAACCTTGTCCCAATATCCCAAATATCCCCAAATCCTGTCCCCAAATCCCCGTCCTTTGTCACAGCATCCCAAATATCCCGAAATCCCTGTCCCCAAATCCTGGCCCTTGTCCCAATATCCCAAATATCCCTGTCCCCAAATCCTGTCCCCAAATCCCTGTTCTTATCACAGCATCCCAAATGTCCCTGTCCCCAAATCCCTGTCCCCAAATTCTGTCCCTTGTCCCAATATCCCAAATGTCCCTGTCCCCAAATG